CAGCACTTTGCCTCAAGTGCCGCATACACTTTTCGGCTTCCTGGCAGCTGCTCCGTACCCCGCAACCCCCGAAAGGATTTCAAGCCACGAAATTCCCTCGAATTATATTGATTGATAGCAACACAATTCAATTATGAATGAAGGCAGAAAGGCCTTTTCCTTCTTCCCTTTTACGACGGCCATCGACAAAAGACCCATTGAAATTATTAATAAAGCCACAAAAGTGGAGAAGCGGAGAAGGGGAGCTGCCAAAAAGGCTTCAGCCTCATGCCTCAGTTTTTGCAACAATTTCGATGGAAGATGTGGCGTGGCAGATGAAAAAACTTGCTCCAAATCTCTGTAGAAATCTTTCGCAAGTCCAATTAGACATTTGGCAAATGGACACAGCAAAAGAGAGAGGGAGAAAGCAGAGTCCAGTCCATTGGTGGACTCCTCCTGCTGGCAAACTAATTGTCCAACATGAAGCGGCAAAAAAGAAGCGAACAAAAATTGGAAAAAATAGCACGAAAAAATATTGCAGCCAAAGTTTGTTATTTGTTTCGTGTCGTGTGGGGGTGTGTCTGTGTCTGTGTGCAACAATTGTTGCAAGTCAGTTGGTGGCGCTAATGAAAAACGACAGCACCCAAAAGGAGGAGTTGGAGTAAGGATCAGGATCAGGAGCAGGAGCAGGAATAGTGAGAGTTAGAGACAGGCAACCGCCATTAAATTTTGCTTAATAAAGTTGCAGCTGGGGCGCTGGGGCGCACCACACAAAAAAATGGGGTAACATCAACACTTAATTGTTCCCACAGTGCCAGGGGGCACCACTGGCAAACACAAATGCAAACGGGGATCCAGAAGATGTGCTCGCTGCAAGCAGATGGAAGATTGAAGCGTTGTAGCATTGAGGATTGATAACTTTGCTACTCTTCCCTGTGTCCCAACTGGCTGCCTGCTTGATGCTGTCTTTCTTAACGCTCAAATTGAGTTAATTAAAAGATGGGCGGAGAGATACTTATTTGCACCTTCAGACACTCGTACCCTCTTGCCTTTTGGGCAAATGGAATTAATGAGCATAATGGCATGGAATCCGAGCGAAACTTACGAACACCAAAAATAGAAGCAGCAGCCAGGAGCATAATGAGCAGAGCCACAGTCTGGGGCGGGAGCTGTAGATTTTGGCACAAGTTTTCAATTACCCAGCATTTATTTTTGTTAAATTCTAATTAAAGCAAAACAAAAGAATTCTCTCGCTGCCGCTGCTTGAAGAGTGGGAGTTGCACTTTAGTTTTGCTTCTTAAATCATTTAAATTTGTGCCGCACGCATAAATAAATATTGACTTGCGGCGGCACGTCTCAGGCAGAGGCAGAGGCAGCGGCAGCGGCAGTGAGCGGTGGCAAATAAATATGCAAATTCTTCTGCTGACTTTTGTTTTCAATTAACTTTTCTTTCGTTTTCGTTTTCTTTTTCTTTGGTCTTTGCTTTTCTTTTGGTTTTCTGCACGGATTTCCAAGTGGAAATGGGCGATTTTCCCTGTGTTCGACTGCAAATTAAACAAATTTGTAACATTTTGTGTCGTCGTTGTGTGGCTTGCCCCTTGTAGTTGCGGCACTGCGGTGCTGCCCGCTGACATTTTGAGTAGTTTTTAATGGGTTCCAATGGAGGACAAAGCTTGTCGACTTTTCCTCGCTGCAGGCGGTCGAAATGTCCTTTCCCTTGGCCCTTAACGAAGGTTGACTGCCACATGCCACATGCCACATATGTGTGGGTGCTGCCACACACCCGCAGAGACGTCAAGAGCTGCATGAAATATTCTCGCTTTAACCGCAAAAACTTGGCCTATTCCTGGAAGTGTCCTTCTCTGGGGAGTCCCTGTTTGACCTTTGAACCCCTGTGCCCCTGTGCCCCTGTGCCCCTCTGCTGTAACATTCATTAAGCCATTTATGGGCATTACCAGCAACACTTTCGTGTCATAATGGAGCTCAGGCAGTAACCGTGCATTATGCCTGGCAGGGAAACCCTTTTGAGTCTGCCCCTGCCACTGCCTCCTGTCTCCTCTCCAGCAGCAGCAAAGGTAACGAAATGCAATTTTCCACACGACTGGCATGCCACGTAGAGTCCTGCCTTTGCCCTAAGCTGCAATCGAGAGAGGGAGGGAGGGACAATTTGCATAAAAATCCCAGCACACATATTGACTTGAAGATAGCGGATTTCGGATCGGACATTGGATCGGGCAGGGTGCGGGGTGAGATTATGTCACGGCTTAATTCAATTAGAGCAGATTACGCATACGCCACGTGGCCTCGGCCCTGGCCCTAGCAAAAGGTCAATGCTTTTTGCGCTTCTCCCTAAACTTTAAGTCCAAGGCGAAGCTGTCAAGTCAACTACCTTTGGCAAAGGGAGGCAGAACCCACAGTTGGGGTCGGGGCAGGGATTGGGTTTTGTTGAAGAGAATCCGCAAACAAATCCTTGATTTATGCGCACATCCTTTTGGCAGGAGCCAAAGCCAAACAGCCAAACATTTATTTCCTTATCCACTTGTGCCAATGTGATTTGCCCCTGCCCCTGCCCCTGCCCCATGCGCTGGCAATGCCGGACGCTGGTCAGCAGCCAGCAGGAGAGAGACAATCAAAGCGAGAAGCAAGCGCACAGTGAGCTCCGGCTAGCGTGTACGCCAGCTGAACGTAAACCAATGTGGTAGCTGCAACGAGTAGCTGCTGCCACAGCGTGCCCCCTGGGTTGATGATGATTTACTGTTATGTTGCCTCGAGGATTTACTCGTGTACTCGAGCGTGTCTGAGCACGCATTGTGTGTGTGCATCCTCCTGCATCCTGTGTAGCATTCTGTGCAGCATTCCGTGCTCATCCCGGTTGATACATAACCTTGAATGCGGTTTTGATGTTTGCCTTTCATTTGGAGTCGCATCTCTCTCTCTCTCTCTCTCTCCCTCGCTCTCTGTTTGATTATTTGTACAAATGGCCGCCTTCCTTCTTGGGCATCCTGTCTTCTGTGGCAAGGTCCTGGGAATGCGATTGCCATTGCCACTGCCACTGCCATGGCCATTGCCATGCGAAAAGCGGATTGCATTCGTGTTCATAAATTGTGGATGCAGCAATGGAGCGTCGTGGCAGTGGCAGCAGCCCAGGAATGCTGCTAAAAAATTGCTGATAAATGATCTTGGCTGCCGCGCGTAGATATTTTAATATTTCCCGTCTCAGCGACTAGCACAGCACCAGCAGCCAGGAAAAGTCCTTGGCTGAGGGCAAATCAAGTTCACTGCTGCAGCTGTTGGCTCCTGCAACTCCTTCTGGCACTCCCTTTTGCTCTGCCTTCTGCTTCTACTTTTGATTCTGTCTGCTGCTCACTTTGCTAATTCCACATAAACACTGCCAAATGGCAATCGTCTGAGCTCCGCAGTGTGGGTGCGGGTGGCAGCAAAGGCAGGACGATACTTTTGTGTAGCGCGCTTTTGAGGGACATTTCCTCCTGGCTGCTGTGACTGCGACTGTGACTCTTCCTCCACATATGTCTGGCATCAATCTCGGGCAGCTGTCACCACACGCAACTCGCACTCTGCCTTCGCGGCGGCCTCTTTAGATGCTGTCTTATTAATGACGCCGCATAATTATCCCATTCCTTAAGGCAGGTCCAGCTTTCCGTCTTCGTTTCGAGATGAATACATGACCACTAAGCCACTACTCGAGCGAGGCAAGCGGCAAGAGGCGGGAGCTTGAAGGAAAAACTAATTTTCTGCTTCTGATTTCGAATTAACTCAAAGAATGACTGACTGAATCGGAGTGGGACGAAAGCTCTGCGGATTTCGAATGTTTGCTGGCCTTACATTTACGCACCGCACTGTTTAGTGTAGTATCCAAAATTGTGGTTTAGTGGGGCCTCTAATTCAATTAATTCTTCCAGATTTATGCAAAAGTATTTATGTTTCCTTTTGCTCCTCTCTGCCCACTTTGTGGGTCAGAGGTCAGCCTCGTGTGCACCTGTGACTCTGCAATTAGGCTAATCCCCAGCTCCCCTACCCCCCGCCCCCCCTCCCGCCATGAATTTCAATTGCTTTTCCGGAATTCCTATGAATTTTCATCGCTTTTTTCTTTATGTTCTTGTCGCTGCCTGTGGCGGCCATAAAATTTGATTGAAATGTTTTCGAGCAAGAAGACGCGGTTTTTGTCACAGATACAGAGAGAGGGAGCCCTCTACCTAGGATTATTTCTCTCTACACTTTACAGGGTAGCTTGGAGAGGGAATATTTGATGACCGTAAGATGTGTGCAACAGCTAGAAAAAAGCGTTTTTCCGGTCATATTTCGTCGTATTTCCTAGATCTCAGGGACGATACAACCATATAAGAGCCACCATTTTAAAGTTACAATACAAGTGAAGAATCATTAAGAAACTTTACACTGAGTACATCCCGGAGTATCCCAGTGTCGTTTCCCGTGTCTCGCATCTCCACACATTTCGACTGGGATTTTATTTCTGTTGTGTTTTGGGCGGTGGGTTTCTTTTAATTAAAATCGAGTTTATGTGGCGTTCTCGTTGAGGCAAATTACTTGGCAACGTTTTCCTTGCCACACACACACACACACACACACTGGTTCATATTGAAAGGCTCAATCAAATGCCTAAATCCCTCCTTCCTTAATTTTTATGCTCGAGCGCTTTTGGCGCCGTAATTTGAGACTTGACAATTTGCCAGCCAGCAGGCAGGCATGGGGAATACTTCCCAAGGGGTGCGGGTGCGAGTGCGGGTGCGGGTACTCTCCAAATTGTAGATTTTTCAAGCGATATCTGGTTCAAGAGCCACCACACGATTATGACACATTTTAATGAGGGGAGGGGCAGACCGCAGAAGATTTCTGTTTATTGTTTCTGTGTGTTGGTTTCGCTGTGGTTGTAATTTGATTTATCTGCCAAGAGCTGAGACCCCAAAGCAGAACTAGAACTTGCGCTTGACATTTGTTTACACCTAATAATCTTTAATTGTTATGTTTCTCTCTTTTTGCAGTGATCAGCAAGGGGCAGGGTGAAACCTGTCGTTACCGCTTTCTGGGAAAATGCGGCGGCTATTGCTGGATCGTCAGTCAGGCGACAATTGTCTATGACAAGCAAAAGCCACAGAGCGTTGTATGCGTGAACTACGTCATAAGGTGAGTCGTCATTCAAAGTTACTTCTCTATACTGTACTAACCTTAAAATTACCTTAAAATTGAGTCCGAATTGAGCCACTTGGGAGGGTACAACAATGCCGGATATTTGCTCATTACATTTGGGGGGAATTTTTATCTTTTAATTAAGCTGCAAAACGGAAGAGAGAGTCCACTCTGCTCCTCCACATTTTCCTTATTAATCGACCGAATTTAATTTCCTTCTCAAAATATTTTCAACTGTAAGCAAGAGGAAGGGAAGCTGCTGCTGTGCGTGTGCTGGAAATTTGCGTAGCTGGAGGAGCATCGCTCTCGTCTGCAGACAGTCTGCGGAATTGATTTGGTTCTCTAATCCGTCAATTATTGTGCCAGCATTGTGTATTGTCTGTCGCATTGTCAGCCACAGGCGCAGATGTGTACCACACTTTCCATTCGATTAGAATCCATCCCTGAATATAATTCAGGGAGAAGTTTCCATCAATTTCCATATTCATATTTCAATCACACAATTCCGCTTCGTGCGCTTTCCTTTTAGCGTTTTATTTCAATTTCAATTTCGAATTTTTATTATTATTTGAATTTTTGTTGTTTTTATGGGCATGTTGCGTGTGTCCACCACGTGAGCGGGTCAACAATGAATAACAAATTAACAATGGCAAGTCTGTAAGAGCAGCTCTCTAATGACCTCAGCAGACACTCAGAAGCACCTTTTGTCCGCCTTCATACCCCATTCCTCGATTGTTCGATGTCGTGCCAGAGTATCCGCCCCCCCCGTACCACAGCAGCAGCTCCCTAGAACAACATTCCTCCTTTTTCTTTCAGGTCCAACGGGTGAGTACCTCAAATAAATTTGTATTTACTTAATTTAAGCGTGTTTGAGCAAATATTTGTGCATTGTTTCATTTTGTTTCCTCTTTCATTCGCTTCACACTTGGAAGCGCCCCGTAGCGGGGGAAACGGAAAGGGGAAAGGGGAATAAACAAGCTTATTGTTCTTTTTTTTTGGGGGTTTGTTATACGATGAATGAGAATGAAAATTCGTTTTTAATTGCACCCCCACACTGTCGTTAGAGCCTCGTGCCCCGGTTTTTGGATTAGCTTTTTTATATGGTTTCATTAATTCGATCACATCATCATCATCATCGTGCTCATCATCATCATTACTTTCACTTTGGCAAATGTTTTTTCGGTATTGACACGCCTCCTGATTAGCAAGCAGTCCCCCATGTACACCCACACATGCCAACGAATGGATGCAGTCGAGCGGTGTAAATGAATGCTGACAGTTTGCTTTTAATTCCGATACAGCATGTGATTAGCTCTCCCTCTGCTGCTCTCGCTGAATATATTGTTCTTTTAACTGCGTCAATCAAGCAAATTCAATGATTCAATTGTTAATTGAACGACGTCTCGGGAATCGATTGTGTAATCGTTGACTACGCACTGCTTGCAAGCGAAGAAGAAATGCTGAGAGAGCGGGCAACTTTGTGTGTTCGTTTTGCTCTCCTCATCGTTAGCTCACACAGTACCCACTAGTGAGGTGTGTGGCTGCGTTCGTATCGATGCTTTGCTTTCTGGATGTACGCTTCTTTGATTTAAGGTAGCCCCAGGTCGACACTTTGTATGCAGAGCATCTATAAACACAGTGTATTTGTTTTTTCCGTTACCCTGCAGCCTGAAACTGCGAGAGAGAGAGAGAACTTTGCGCTCTTGCATATCATTTGATCTTTTGCTGCTCGCTTCAATGCATTTGGGTAGGTGTCTGCTTAGTTTACGGTTGCTGCTCATCTTTTTTGCCCTGCACAGCTTGCATTGTAAGAGCGTATACGCAAGCATTCAAGTTGATCTTCTGCTTCCCACTTCGATGCATTTGGGTAACTGCTAGCCGACTACCAGCTGTACCCATTTTCTTGCTCTTCTCTGTCCACTTTGTGTGCATTTAAATGTCAACAAATTGACGGGTACAAGCGCGTGTTGTTTTTGTAATTGCTTTTTGCTTAATTGAAAAGAGAGAGTGGGAGAGTAGAAGAGGAAGAGAGTGTGTGAGTGAGTATTTGTCACATTGCCAACTAGAAATATTCTCTCTGAGTTTTGTTTACTTTTATTTTGGCACACTCTCTCTCTCTCTCTCTCTCTCTGACTATTATTTATTCTAACGGTGAAGTGATGTTTGGACTTTGCACGATTTACGGTTCGCTGATAACTGTTCTGCACGGACAGGCGAGCACCAGTTGAGAATTAAAATAAACAAGGGAGAGAGAGAGAGAAGAATAGAACGATGATCAGTCCCTGCTCCTCCCACAGTTTGGCAGCTGCCTCAAGGTCGCCTTTGTAGTGGGAGAGCTGTGCAGCACGATGCGCTAGTCCAATGCGTAATTGTCGATGCATATTTATAGATTCCCAATTTCTTGGCTGTATCGACACATTTTTCCCACGATATTCCCCTTAGCAAACCAGGGAAATCCAATTAACAATTATTTCAGGAGGTTTTTCCCAGGGAAATTTGCATTTTTATGGCTCGTTTCATCCATGCCTGGGTACGCGTTGCTTTTAATTACCAAATGTCTGCCGTCCCACCACCCTGCACTGGATGTCTCCTTTGTATCCTGGCAATGTTCTCGATTTATCGCACTTGACAGGCTCTTTCTTCGGCAGTCCTTTCCACGCGCAACGCAAACTTTTTAGCCCTAATGGAATTTACACGAGTTCCTAACACTTTCCCCAAAAAAGATTTGCCATCCCCCCAAGCAGCGAGCCCCCGAGAGCCGACATCGACAGCAGGCTTAGGACGCCATTTTGTGGCTGGGAGACTAAAAATTAAAACAATAAATTAAGCCTGAAACAAGGCAAGCGAACCAGCTAGAGGGAGGCAATAAAATGTCGTCCTTTATGATTGCCTGACGGACCCGGCAATAAAATGAACTGAGAATCCTGAAATTAAAGAGTTCCTCCGTCCATTTCTCATTCCTGTTTCCATTATGTATGCGACCTTTTCCCAATGAATTCCATTTGCAGACCGCAGCATAAATATTTCATATGCACATGTTCTAATCGGGATTATTGATGGGGTGGTGGGTGTTCTCCTTCAGGTTCAAAGGTTCCAGCGCTGAACCCTTCGTTCAGTGAAACTTTTTCCCCATCTTGTTCGGTTTGATGGTTTTGTTTCCATTGCGTGGACATAATTTTGATTCTCTGATTTCTTGCGAGCGATAACTTTGGTCACCTGGTCACCAGCCGTCAGCTAATTGAAAAAGTTGAGGTAGTTCCTTCGCCGCATGTCTGACCTTAATTGCCTTGAATCGATTTTTCACTCAATACACACCTGCACACGTCCAGCTGTATCCTGTATTCCTGTCCCGTTCGATGTCTCTTTAATGTGATGGCCACCGCCGCACCCGTACCCGCACCCGCACCAGGACAGGCGTTAAATTGTGTTCCGTGAGCCGTCTTTGGGGCGATGTCCGTAAGGACACACGGACACGGAGATTTATGGCCACACAATTACCTAAAGGCTGTTAGCAGTTGGCTTGGGTTTTGGTTGGGGGGGGGGGGAACTATTCTGGAAAGGCCAACAAAATGCCTAGTCCTTCCATCATCGATAAGCCTTAGTTATCTGGTCACGTAGTCAGCACCAGTACGAGCCCCGTTCCCGCATCGGCAATCCTAGTTGTGTTGGCTCAAAAGCATCGTTATTAAAGCCGCTTTATTAATGCGGCTAAGCGATGAAGTTATTCACTCGATTCGGCTTCGATAAAGCAAACAACAGGCTGGCTGGCGGCTCCAATTTATTATGCTAATGTCCGAGTGCTTCAAATCCAATTGCCGTTGTCGATGCCCAGCTAGCTCCTTGGAGAGCGGAAATGTTTGCCAACTTCCGGCTGGGCATTCGTCGTGGGCCGCTCTCTGACGTCAGGATAATTAACTGTGAATGCGGCAACACTTTAACCAAAATCACTCCAGGGATGCGCAAAAGGCCTTTCCGAAGGAACAGGAACAACATTTTACACACGTGTAAGCGCACCATTAAAACTTTGTGTTGGCAAAAGCAAAGCCAGAGCAGAGCAGAACCCACACTCACTCTCTCTTACCCTTCCTTCCTTCCTTTTTCTTTTCATTCTTGAGGAATTTAATTTGCCACGGAGCAGAATGGAGCAGCCTGAAGTTGGGACTCTTGCTCCTCGAGGCGATTGCGGCTCCAGCCTTTTTCGTGGGCGAGATTGTCATCGCAGTTGATTCTGTTTTGATGAAGTCGCTTTACCCCACACCTTCGCTGTGACCCCCTTTGCTGAATCAACATTGCGTATACGCAACGTGTGCCGCGTGTCTTTGTATAGCTATTATTTGTATAAATATTTTTCATCTCTGCGCTCGCCTGATGACAAATTCATAGTCACACCTGAGCAGAGCAGAGAGCGCACAGAGCGTGCTGCTGGCTAAATCAACTTGTTTGCATATATATTATTTGTATACCTAGGGGGGAGGACTCCCCTCCTGCGGCACACACATGTGTGTCGTTAAATGATGTCCTGTGTGCATGAGTGGAAATTGCATTTTGATTGGCTTGCTCTCCGCTGCTGATAGAACATGACAAAGCTCCCTTCTCTATGAGGGCAGCTCACTCTCTGGGGAGCACAAGTCCCATACCATTCCGTCTCTGGTTTTTCCGGTTATTGCACATCAAAACCTTTTTATGTTGGACATAAAATTTGCGTGTTGGCTTTTTGGTGGCCTGCAGGACACAAGCGGCACGGAACGTAACGTAAACGTTGTAAAATGGATCTGCTTCGTTATCGAAAGCGAGATGCATTTACTCTCCTCCAGCTCCTTCACGAATACACAGTTCATAATTTGATTGGAAGCCTCTTTAAATGCTTGGCTTTAAAAGTTGATGGAGTGCTCCCCCCTGGTGCTGCTGTGGTGGGGATTACCATATTAACATATATGTATGTATCTGCCGCAAATGCCAAAGCAAAGTCAGTGGCACAGGCAAAAGCAGAGGCAAGT